CAATTAAAATAAAAAATCACAATTTTTTTTGGTAATTACTTCTTAAAATTCAGCTTATGCATAATATTTATATGGGATGGCACAACATCCAGTTAGCTGTGGGTAACGACTAGCCTCTTACATTATCTCTCTCTCACCAATGGAAAATAAGCATGCTATACGAGTATGAAATGTAAAAGGCTGTATTACTATTTCATAACCCTCTAGGATTTGGGGAACTGCGCCCAAAGGAAGATCCTTTGTCTTAAAAAACACAAACGCATTACAACACGTTCACTGCGGGACCTATTTCGTTTGATTTGATAAAAGGCAGATATATTCTTAGATGCTTGAAACAGCTGAACACTTGACGCCCCCATGGCGACATCCGTCAAGTGAAACAACTCACTTATGACGCTAACTTCGTGTTATCACCAGTGGTTTCTCAGCAACGTTTAACCACTGTCCAGCATTTACATGGAATTATCTTCTGGACTTAATTTCTTGATTCTTGATTAACGGATTGCAACGGTGGTGCTTCAGACTGTACGGAACAGGTAGACATCAATGTAATTCCAATCCCACGATGGCTTAACGTCGAACTAACATTTGCATGCCGCGAACAACGGTCAACACAACTTTTACAATACGTGTTATTCAGTCGTCGGTCTCGACCACCCGGCATATTTGACGCAAGTCAGGTATGTACAACCAGGAGAGAGCTGTTCCCACAGCTCCGCTTCCTAGGTACACAAAAGATTTTCTGCTTTTGCACTACGGGTTGTGTACCCTTCGATAAAAAGAATCCAACTCACATGGCCCTACATCGGCTTCTTCTAAGAAATCCAAATTCCCAATAACACCTGAAGTTGCTTCTGCTCCTCCTTTCCCATTATACCCACATCGTTAAAAGCATTGTGGACTCAGCTAAAGAGCCTCTCCACTTAGAAGCCATCAAAATAGATCAGTTCAAATAATATCAGGGTTTTTTAATTCGTATTTTCTTTATACGTTTACCACTTTCCTCACGACCACATTTCTACCGCCTAGCAACCGCCACTTGAGCGAGCCCTCTCTGGATTCGAGGCGTTCAGTAGTCGCTTGAAAAGCCATGGGATTGTGTGGCAAATGGCACAGTTCTTGCAAAGCACTTCGCGATGGAATGTCCTGTTTCTTCGGCAACGGGCCAGTTTTGAGTTTTGTCCTGTGTCCCCCAGGAGAAAATCAAAATGGTGAGTGTGTTTTTCTCCATTATCAGCAGAAATCGGCGAAAGCTTTTGCATAACAACAATAATATCTATGATATGTAAGCAAGCGCTGCTTTATCATTTATTGGTTCATGATTTTAACCTCATAACATTGCAGGACTTATCTGTTTTTTGGGGTTTCAAGCAAATCTTGCGTTTATAAGTCCCTAGGGGCTTTTACAGATCATTTCACCAGCTGAAGTTGACTTAAAATTCGAAGGGGACCAATTAAATGAAACAACCTCCAACCCCTTCGTTTTTACACGGGCTTGCCAAGGGCTTAGGTTCTTATTGAGTCACCGGGCACACTCGGAGAGCAAGACGGAAAAGTCCCCGTTGAATGAACACGTGATTCAAGAGAGAGATTTGCTAAACAGTGCTGAATCGAATTGGATTCTAACACGCCTCGGATCTCGTTCGACTCAATAAATGCAAATTGTTAACTCGTCTCCAAAAGGCCGGGTTAACGAAGCCCCGATGAAATCGTTCACCTGCCGGGGTAATTTTTTCTTTAAAAATACAATTACACAAGTCTTGACAACTGAAATGTAGGTGGATAGACATGCTTTTACATATTCACTTTTTCTACTATGAAAACTTACGGAAGCTCTATATTATCCGAAATACAACGTACGAGTGGGGCAGGCAAAGCCAAGTGACAAGAAATCAAGGAACGCAATTTTCGAGTGCTTATAATTTTTCTATTTGCTTGTTGTTTCATTTTCATATTTGTTTTTATTGTGTTTATATGTATAGTTTTAATCAATCCGTTTTCTCTTTGATATATTTTCCTGCGTTTTCGTTGTTTGATTTCATTTTCACTATGCTTTCATATTGGTTTATCTGCAGTTTCTTTTTCTTTTCTTTTTCTTTCCTTTTTTTTCTTTTCTTTTCTTTTTTTCTTTTTTTTTTCTTTTCCTTTTTTTTTTCTTTTTATTTATTTTTTTCTGTTTTTTTTACTTTTTTATTTTTTTTACTTTTTTNCCAGTAAAAATTTAAAATTAAATGAAACTCGCTCACCATTAATCTGATGGCATATTTAATGTAACGACCTGGGGGCGTACTAATTCAAAATAGAAATGTAAAAGTATGAAAGTATAAAAAATTGAAGTGCATTGTGGTTTTGAATGAAACTATTCTCCACTTTCCGGACAAACTCTCTCCATCCAGCTGCATTTCTCAGCCGGAGAAAATGCATCGGGATGTACAACACGACCATGGATGACATGAAACAATTTGTAATCATGTGGAATCTCGTTTTAAAATAGTCGACAAAGATATAACTACATAATGATTAGCAAACAGGACAGAAATAAACAAGGCTAGGTTATAAATCGCAATAAAACATTCGAAAACCTTCACAAATGTAGAATCTTGTTTTAAATTTTTAACATGGAAGTAATTACATAATGGGTAACAAACAGGTCACAGAAATCAGCACGGCCAGGTTACAGATCACAATAAAACAGTAACTTTTATTCAACAAGCTTCACAAATGTGGAAGCTCGTAAAATAACCAACATGGACGTAACAACATTATGGTTAACAACGCCAGGTATTAACTAAACCAATTTGAAATGAACGTTAGCAATATAGGACATAAAAACTTTTATAGCCCGGGTAAGAATAAAAACAAGATGGTAAAATTACTTCAAATGTAAGATTAAATCATATGTAAAAGTATTCTTGACGAAATAAAACAATTGAGTCTCCTGACCCACGGCTTAGTATGAATCAGAGCCGAAGAATAATAATGGGGCTGTATATCAAACAAAACCAACTTAAAATATTTGGATCTATTCAAAAAGCAGAAATGGGCAGAATAAGAGGAAAGTACCCTCCAGATACAAGTGGTAGCGGTAAGGAACACACGTGACCAGTTGTAGATATTTAAAAGGTATATCCACATTATTTACGGAGTTGTATTCACAATCTAATCAAGATTAGTGAATACCTAGGACAGGAAAGTATCAATTCAATAATTCAAAAATCACGCAAAGACTTAAATAAAATTGGGCTCTCTTCGTAAGAAATATACTTGCAACACAGGTTGCGAATAAATAGCAATAAAACAGCAAAATTAATAAGTTTCCCAAATGTAGAATCACGTTAAAAACTGGACGCAACCAGCTTATTGTTAACAAGCAGCTCGCAAAAATCAGCACGGTCAGGATTGCATTAAACAGTAAACGTAATTCGAAAACCATGACAACTAATGTGTAATCACGTTTTAAATAGTCAACATGGACGTAACTCATACAAAAGCCATCAAAAGATACTGTAATCACTAATGGAATTAGTATCACAAATGTATCATGAATACAAACTACGCAAACAGTAACGCAATACGTAATAAAAACAACAGAAGGCATGGAAGACCTCAAATCATATATAACAAATATTATGACGAAATGATGAAACACCAATAGAGTTATTTCAGCTTGGCGAATTCCAGTTAATTAAAACGAGAAACCGAGACAAATTCACTAACAGACTTCAGGGCTACATGCCACCACAACAGTGCTTCAAGTTCCGTGGCTGCCCTACATCCTCACAGGAGGATGCAGGTCAGTATAAAAAAATCGACGGGATGGTAGTAAATTCGTCTAAAAATAAAATGTAACCATTTTGGGAAAAAAAAAGAGTACAATAAATGAGGCTAGACAGCCAAAAGTAAATAAATCGGTTCAAACCAGTAAAAATTTAAAATTAAATGAAACTCGCTCACCATTAATCTGATGGCATATTTAATGTAACGACCTGGGGGCGTACTAATTCAAAATAGAAATGTAAAAAGTATGAAAGTATAAAAAATTAAAGTGCATTGTGGTTTTGAATGAAACTATTCTGCACTTTCCGGACAAACTCTCTCCATCCAGCTGCATTTCTCAGCTGGAGAAAATGCTTAGAGATGTACAACACAACCATGGATGGAAATGAAACAATTTTTAAGCGAGTTGAACCTATCGCTATGCTTTATTCCTGAGGAAATTTGTTTACAATGCGTATATCCTCATCAATTCCACATGTATGGATACTCCAAGATACGAACTAGATAAATTTCACAGATACTAAAGTATTTCCCGGCAAGACACTCTAGTTTAATGCGTCTACCAAAAGAACCGTTTAGTATAGAGACTGGGGTTTGTGTATGAGACTATTCTGACTTATAACTGATGGACTATATTGGTATATTGCTTGTTAGCTAACATGCTTGGAGACGTACAACACAACCGTGGACGAAATGCAGCCATATCACATTTTCTCGTTGGACTAAGACCAGTTTAGTTCTGGTACAGAATATCTTACTGGAATATATTATAGGACCTATTATAAGACAATGCTGAATTCTTAATCTATCAATCAAAACCGCTGTAGCACAGTAGAAACCTCTCACACCATTTTTGCGAAATTATCCTGTCATATATCAAAAATTTTATAGTTAAAAATTGGCCACTATGGATGCTAGAAAATTAAACTAGAAAGTACCTTGGGATAAACAAACCTAGGCATAAATTACCAAAAAAAAATCAGGTAATCCTTATCAGAAAAAACCTCATATACAAAGTGGACATTATTTCTTGTTGGCATTGCAGTTGTGACCCATTAGTTTAATAAATATTCCCAGAATGTGTATACGACCATTCAGAATTTATGACAGACTAGAACATGCTTGGAGATATACAACACAATCTATCAGTGATATAAAAACACTCGCAAGTATGAAATTCCTTTAAAACAATCAAAATGATTTCGCAATTGTCCGTAACCATCTATTGTATAATAAACTAAATGTGATTTGATCGCATTAAAAACGCTGAAAACCGATAGTACGAATGGGTGGGAACATGAATAAGATGCTAATGAAAAATGCCCTTCTTTTGAATGAACCTTGCGTCGGCATTTATTGCCGGATAGTAATTAACGACTCATTCGAACTGGTTCTTTTTTCCCCAAGGATTACCGGGTGTGTTCGCACGAAGCGGTTCAACCTGTTTTCTCGCCGAGCGATCCGACCCTAGTCTTCAGCCAAACGTCGAAGTATCCACATGGTTCCCCATTTAAACTATTTGACTCGTCCCGAGGCGATTATTGTGAGTTAACTTATATTTTGTGGCTTTTATGTCGGCAATTAATTAAATTAAAAACTCAGGAACAAAAGGTTCTGATTATGTGTGAAAAACATCGGTGTGGAGGAGGGAAGTTCAATTTTCTCTCAATCGATTCAATATTTAACAAAATATACGACCTTATAGCATAAGCATAAGCTCTGTTAGTATGAAAACCGTTAATTCAAATTGTTAAATTTAGCATTTTAGCGCTTTTATTTTAATTGGAAATCCATAAAACATTTGAATTGCCGCTGATTTTGAATCTCAACCAATTTAAGTTTTGTTCCTTAAATGGTCGAAAATAGCTTTCTAATGGCACAACATCAGTGGAGTGGGGATCAAGTTAATTTTGCTCTCGATCGATTTAACAATACGAGCATACTTACATTTGAACGTCGGTTAAGAAACTGTTAAGGTAGGTAAGGTTAAATTGATGTTAGGATCAGTGTGAAGGTTAGTTATCAGGGTTGGGTTAGGTTGAGTTAGTGACGGAGAGATACGTTTCATCGTTTTTTTGTTTTTTTTTTAATAATAAAATCAAAGAGATAATCTTACTTTAAATCGGTTTGAATTCCATTTTCGAACATCGCCTTAAAAATAAACAAAATTGCAGGCAAGGGGCTCATTATTTTGTAGTATTATTGAGGTAAATAATGCGCTTTGTTTGGGTTAGAGTTGGGCTGGTTGTAAATAGGTTAGCCTTAGATTAAATTTGGCTAAGATGAACATTAAATAGGGTAGGGTTGAGTTGGGCTGGGTTGGTTGGATTGTTTGGGGTTGAGTTAGGTTGAGAGAACTCTTAAGAATGTTCCATCGCCTTCCAATTGTGTTTTATAATGAAATCAAACAATGAAAATCTTAATTTAAATCATTGTGTTTTCTATTTAAGAAATATATTTAAATGTAAACAAAATTACAGACAAGGGGCTTATTATTGAAGTAATAATGCAATTTGGGTTAGGGGTTGGTTTAGGTTCGGTTGGGTTGGGGTAGGTTTCGTTAAAAGACAACAAACGCAATGGTAATAAAGATTGTGAGAAACAAACGAATTTGTCCCCGTCTAAATGGAGTAAATGAGCCAGAAAGTACAATCGAGTTGAATAAGTGACGGGGGAAAAGCAAGGGGCGAGTCGGAATAACCACTTCAAACCAAATCAGGCGGTTAATTGAGAATGTTTAACATTTGTTTTTTAAACGCCTAAGACAAGGTTCAAACGTGATGACTATGGCATCTGCAACCCAATCCATGGTTGAATACACAAGAAATAAACGTACTAATACTAGTGTACTACACATTGGGACGAAGTACACGTATAAATCAATTATCCTATTTAAGAAAATAATAAGCATTAAATTGCACTATAACTTTTATCTTGCTAAAACCCAACGGCAAAACATAGCAAAGATAAATTGAAAAAGAACCGATGAACGCAATAACCGACTGGAACAAAAGGAACATGTTTACAGATTTTTTGCCGTTTTGATAAATAAACCGTATGGGCAATAGAAATCATAACAGCATGAATCATTTAATCGAATAGATGAATGAAGTGACACACACCTTCCACCTTTCACCAACGTACAAAATGAATTCCATAAGAAAAATAATACAGAAATTTGGTGGGGAAATGCGTCTGATAGAGCAAAACACCAAGAGTAAGCTGACCAAGACGATAAGAAACAACCACATTGGTTCGGCGCTTTGACTAAAGCCACCGTTCAGCATTTTTCAGCCATTCCACAACTTAATAAAAGACAAAATAAACATTTGAAACTATACGAACTGTGGAAGAGAATAACCGACAAGGACAAACGTCCAAAAAAACTAGAAATAAACAATCAGAAACCTTCCAATGTTGGTAACGTAAGCTACTAGACCAAGAACCCAGACAAATTAGGATTTCGCATTTAATTGCTGTTCAGCGTTGCCAAATTCGACTATCAATCGTTTGGAAGTATATCATTGCGGGGAATAGGCCTAGGGCATCAAAGACAAGTCTGTCATCGGGGTTTACTTTGGACAATTTTAACTTTCTCATCCTTAAGTAGGGGGGTTTGAATCTATAGGCCGATTTTCCTTAGTGTCCCGGGACAATCTAATATACACTTATGATCAACTGCTCACAGCTCGCCTACACTTACATTTACTAATAGCAAACTATCAATTTAGACCAATACCACGACCAAAATATAACTGCTTCCAATGTAGCAGGTCTCTCTGGTTTGTGATGACCGAGAAGCAGTTCATCTTTACCCATCAGATCTCGCACACTTAATTACTACTAGACAACAAATCATTAGTATACAAACTCGGAACAAAAGAAAGTGCTAGAAAGCTATTCTGATGTGGATCATTTGATTCAACGATTATGGCAACAGATTCTGGAAACTCATGGAAACCTTACATTTTACACACGATCTGATCCTCAAATGAGCACAGAGTTTGGGTTGGGAATACCCCCCTTCCACAGGGTATTCCTGGGTCCACTATACGTATACTCCTTCCCATCCTGGTACTTGCCAAAGAAAGGGATGACTACTCCACCGAAACCTTCATTCATATCTGAAAGGATGACACACAAAAACTGAACAGACGACCGCTTATAAACTTGACTACTGGACAACATATCAGTAGGACATAAATGTACCCACACTGTAAAAGGAAAGCTAACGGGCCTGACTCTAGAAGGATAGATGACGCACCGCAGATCCACTGGATAGTGCCCTTGGTTTCTTCGTTCCGTTAAAACGATGGTGATGGAATTTACAAATCCTTTGTTTTCATTTTTAGAGAGGAAAACTAACAATGAAGATATCTCTGCCTAAAAGGCAGATAATATTTGGCACATCACCTCATTGAAATGTTCTGTTTTCCAGTTCGGCATGGATCTTTATTTGCTGTGCTTTTTAATGTCTTTGGGGCTGGTACATCCGCAAGAGTGGACTGGTGATCACGCCGAGGGAGCAGCCCTAGAAAGTACACCGTTGGGGTAATTTACAGCCTTTACATTTTTCTTTTGTTAAACTGAAAACAGATACAATCATCATCTAACCCTTCACAAACCATTCTATCACGATTGCTATTAGTTGACGCGCTAATCGCTGATGATAGTCGAAACATACGAAACGAAAGCCAACTGTTGTAAATATATGAGCCAAAACTGCAAAACTGAACCAGCAAACGATAAGAAGATAAGAAAAATCAAGACGACAGAAACGTAGCACAGATACAAACTTTCCACCTTTCACCAATGTACAAAGCAATAATCGAATTGAGAAAAAATCCAACCTGGGATGTCGAAATTTCTACTCATTGACAGGCCGGAACAGCGAGAATAAGAAGATCAAAATGAACTAGGTAGAAAATACCAGAAACCATGCAGAAAGAATTGTAATAACTGATCAAAAGATTATAAACATTCCAACAAAAGTTCGCAGAGTTTTTCACAATAGGTCATAAAAGATAATTAATTACACAAGTTGACCTTGCATAACTAAAATTCATACCATCCAGGCAACCACCAAACATGGAAAACGATTAATACTCCTTGACTATAGGACAATAAACGTGTAAAGGAAACTTTTACAGAAAAATCTGACTGTTTGTGGGGGTCCCTGCTCTTTAGCTGCAACTCCAAGGTGACATAATTATGTCTCATAACATGTGGCATAACTATCATGCATTATGATTATTATGAAAATGGATTCATGGAAAATCTATTCCTACATAGATAAACACTGGGATCACGCCTGATCAAAAGAAACAACAATTTGACAGTCGTAAAACATTCGATATTAAAACCGTAAAAGACAATGAATTTAATAAAATCATCCATGGAATAGATAACACGGCAAGACAAAAATGAGGAGACCTATTTGTTTGTTAAGGTAGCCGTTAGTGGATTAAATGAAAGTAGGTGAAATAAAAGACCATAAAAGACAATGGATAAAAAAAAAAAGCATTTTGGTTTTCTGAACTAAAAGCCCTCCATGGAAAATAATATATAATACATGATAAGTGATAATTGAGTACAACTATTTACTTGTTGTATATGGCCATCAGTGGATTACATGGAACGGGGTTAAATAAAAGACCACAAACGGCCAAAAACGACAATAGCAGAACAAAAAAACATTTTGGTTTTCTGAACATCCTCATCCGTGAAAAATAATAAACAACACATGACCAAGAGATATTGACGTCTATTTTTCTTTTTAAGGTTAAGTGTATGGCCGATCAGTGGATAAGATGGAAGGAAATGTAATAATAAAACGAAAAATTTGATCTCATTACAAGCATGCTACAAAACTAGTGAAAAATCTAATTTTTAAAAATGTAGCATCTATGGATTTTTTCAAGGTTTCTGCAGCAAGGCTCTTGTTTGTATTTATGGTTTATTTGACTCACAATGATTCCTTATGTAAAGAAGAGTGGTCCAGCAAAATGTGTAAAACTTTCGCACCTGGAACCCACTCGCTTGAAACAAGACATGAACCATCCCACATACCCATTAACAACGAAATTACCATATACAAAACGACTACGGACCTAATGACTGGAAGTTTGGGGCTCAACCGAACATTACAGCCCATATCTAATGTCTGTAATCCAAAAACCTAAGAATGATTCTTAATGGTCCTTTTGACGTAATAAAAAACACTGACTTCATAATCCACTCCACTCGTTCACTACAATGTTTAGAACTTAGTTGAGGGATGAAACGTTCCATCATTGTCAACTTTCGTTATTATCATACTAATTTGATTTAATTAACTATCGTCCTCTCTTTAATAAAAGACCTTTAAATTAATTATTAATCGGCTTGAAGTATGTTTCATAATTTATTTCTGGAGCTAGACTGACGTGACTGGCGTGGGCGTAAAGCATGAAAGCGTTTGAGAACAAAGGGAGGCATCGGGCCGTGAATGAAACTTCTGACACGAGCCTCTTCACTCACACTTCATCCCACACATTAAAACGTTTAAAATATATTTTTTGATTGAATAATCCTTGAATATATGAATACATTAAATATTGAAGCGTTAAAAACGTCGACCTCTACAGTATAAATGCAATCTTTTGCTAATGCATCGAGTCAGTTTGCAAAGTAAGAAATTCGATTTTATTTTATGTGCTCGAGGGCTAGGATGAATCAGAAAAACTTTATTAATATCACCGGTGGAAGATGCCGGAAAAGAATTCAATTGGCCTGGCTCGAATTCTTCTATTGGAATTCTTACCCGGTTCAATAGTGATTGCGATATTAGCTTTATTCGTGTGTATTAAACTTTAAGAAACAATCAATGAGAATATGAGGTCCTTTATTAAGCCTAAAAGCTAATTTAAGAATCATACTCCCAAAAGGTATAAAAAAAAAATCCATGACCTAGTTTCGACTGTACCACCAACTTTTAATCATTACCTCCTACTTTTTAGATCGCAATATAGATTATGTATCATGAATCATGTCCTTCCAGTTTTTTTTAATGTACATACGTTGCAATAACAGTAAAAAAAATCAGGAAGTGCCAAAAAAAAATCATAACCTTCTATCAACTGTTCCATCAACTGTTTTGATTACAAAACGAAAGTGAAAGTTTATAATTATTTACTCCTTTTCAAATCGCAATATACAGATGAAGTGTTATGAAAGAAATCCTCGAAAGTTAGTTAAACGATCATACATACGTCCCAGTGTCAAAGAAAGCATGATTTAATGTTGACTACTTAATTGTTTTGATTATAAAGCAAAAACAGGTTAAAACTATTTCTACGCCGCATTTTCCTCAGTAAAATGAGTAAAAACCCTAAAATGGTATAAGGAAACGTTTTCTCAACCCTTGAAGCTGTAGAATAGGCAAGACGAAGAGAAGCACGGTTGCGTTAGTTAAAATATTTAATCCCCAAGATAGTAGGGCCCACGTTCAGCTGTGGTACGGTCAATTTTCCTTGGGATAGGGCAATCCGCTTCACTCTCTTCTATTCTACAAAAACATTTTGTTACAAAGCAGTGATGTAATTTTTGAATTATTTGCACGCCTTTAAGGCAAGCTGAAATCAGGCTTGGTAATATTTATGATTGTCATTGAAAGAACGTTCTTTTTATGGAAAAATCTTCTCTTTTAGACCTGACCGTTCATTCTAGCAATCAAATATAACCCTATTTCAATTCACGCTGCAATTAAAGAAATTACATAAGCATTCTTTTATATTGCCTATCAGAGGTTGGCCACCAAAATCCTAAAGAAAAGCTTTTAAATAGCGTTTATTAATTAACAAAAAAATTTCCACTTAAATACTAGGAAAATGAAGGGGAACATAATTACATAAGCAGTGAGTGGAAATTAAAATAAATCCCTTGGACCCGGTGAATTAATTAAATTCTTGTTCATCTTGTTAAATCGCAAAATTCAATCAAATTGGGAAGATTGAAAATATTGGAGAAACGAAATTCCTACTGAGATGGAACGTTAATTATTTTTCTTTTTTCAGTTTTAAGGTGTGAATTTAGTTTCCTTCAATGCTCGGAATGAAGTGGTTGTCTAAAACTAGAGCCAAGTTGGTAGTATCTGAAACTTTGAATTCAGCGAGTCGTGTCAATTTTCAAACTAAGTCCGGACAACATTGAACAAACTATGTAAGTTTGAAACGAATTTCCCACATTCGACAGCTCGATTTGAAAATTTCTTGACGAATACCTTTTCAACCTAAGTATTTTCTAAAATTTAGAGGTATTCAAACATACAAAGTATATACATAACGAGATATCAACACGATTTTTACCTTCTGGCCATACGTTATACATTCTTCAATAAGTACATTTATAGTTATTATTTTTTTGCAGAAACCTATTTTCAACGAGTTCGAGCGACCCTTCCAGAGCAAACATCAGCCGTTTAATTGTGAACCTCAACAGCGCGCATCTGAAGCTGAGCACCCCCCTAATCAAGAACCTTATCGACTATAGCATCGCTTCAGCGTTAAATAACAGCAGTTTCCGTTTGGAAGATTTCCATATTAATACTGAAAATGATGGTGAAAATTTCGACGATGGTAAACCACGGTTGGAGATTGTTTTTAACCTGACTGATGGAATGCCTGCAAAGATTGACAAGGAAAGCGATGAATTTTTGTTGGTCTCTGTGCTTGTGGCACAGGTTCAAGTGAATAAAACTAAATCGGCGAATAGGACTGATTCGATTCAGGGGTCGAAAAAAGACGCAGAAACTGCCCAGTTTTTAAGTGCTACTTCTCAAGAAGGTCCGAACAACAAAGATATTCAAGAAAGGTACGATGGACCCTCTTACGATACTAGGATCAATGTAAGTTCTAATACGGAGGAAAAGAAAGAAAGTGCAGTTTCCTCAAATTGGGATAAACAAAGTTCGGCCTTAAAATGTGAAGATTGCCAGGTTAAACATGGTGAAGGTATTGCCTATAAAAAGCAAAAGGACCGGGTTTCTTTTCCGCCTGGTGGCCTACAGTCTCAACGAGTCAACTTAAACGAGCCTTCGAGCCAAGTTCCTGTCATCGATCCGATTGGCTTGCTTAACAAACAAAGTCCGTTTCCTACCCAATACAGTGACAGCTGGGTTTTTCCGAACGGGGGCGTATCGAAACAGGAAGGACTTGCAATTTTTTTCAGACCAGATTGTCCTGTCTTCGTTCCTCAGTTCATCTTCCCATATCTCCAGCCCTTCTACCAAAACTACAGATTATTCACGCGAGCATAACAACACAACAAAAGAGATTTTTGTGCATTAACAGCCTGTTTAGACCGTCGAAATTTGGTCTCTTTTCTTGAATATCCTAATTGGCATCGATATCGTAAAAAACTACTGAACCAAAATCCGGTGGTTTAGTAAAGCGTTTATAAAAGAAAGAAAATAATTTGACAAATTCTCCATATACCTTCTTACATTTTAACCAAAGACCGAACCAACACATTCCTTTTGCCCAAAAAATAGAACAATGGATAAATTACTTAATAGTAGCAGTGCTAAACATTAATTTAAAAATATCATACTTTACTTAGGTAAAGCCTATTAAAAATTATTGATTATTACATTAATGAACATTGAAATATCGAAAAGACTTATCACGATAGAAGGGGAATGCTGAATACTGCTTCATTGAATGTTCCAAAAAATGTATCAGATAAATTTCAAATACAATATTAAAAACCCGATATTTTTTCTTTTTTAAGACTACAAAATCCAATTATGTATATTCCTTTGAAATATCCGTTCAATATTGTGCAGTACGGGCATCACGTTATCAAGTGTCTAAAACGACTTTCAGGATAATAAAACCGTGCATTTGCACAATTATCACGACCTCACCGCCTGTTATTATGACAGTTAATGGCATGTTTTAGGTAATGGTTTTCACGCTAACTTACTTTAATGACTCATACCATATTGGGAGATAACCTTGTACTCAAAAGTAATTATTCCAGCCGTTTTCCATTTGAACCAAAGCTTGATTCAGAAAACCAGGCCAGTATCTGCCTACCAATTCAACATCACTTTTTATAATTAACAGAGTTCTCCTTAAAATCCCTTAGACTAAGGAAGCTATGGCAAATTCCAACATAACTTGTTGACCCACGTAAAATTAACGGGATTGATAACCAGGTTATAATAGGGCATTAAAATAGTCCTATGGGTTAGGATGTAATTTTGCAGGACACCAACATCCTTATATCGGAAGTTTACACAGTTGCGGCGTTGGATGCAATACAAAGATGTAAGAAAACCAAAACACATGCCACATAGTTCAGAGTTCACAGAAAGTCGAACATGACGGAAAATTAACAACTGGATGTCCTTAGATGACGAGTAAGAAATCAAAAGAATAAATATGCACATTGTAACATTGGCATCAATCACAACACAGTTTGTGCTTTAAAATCCAAAGAAGCTACAGAAAAGAAAATGACAGATTTACTAAAATACTTGATGAGAACATTCCGCCAGAGAAAACGAGCAGATAGAATAAATATGCAGATTGCAACATTGGCATCAATCGCAACACAGGAAGTATCTTAAAATGCACTGAAAACAGCATACGAGCAAAGAAAATAAAAGAACTCCACAGATTCACTAAATTGACACAAATGCATCAAAAGAAAATAGATAGATTCAATAAAATATTGACAACAGTATTCCACCAAAGGTTTAAGCAAAAAAAAAAACCAACAGGTTGCACGACTGCACTGAAAACCCAATGGACATCTGAAAAGACTGGGGGGGTCAATCACGCCACGCTTTAAAACTACAAAGCAGAAGGAAAAAAAAGGACTCGAGATATTCACCAAAACAGTTCATATCAGCATTCCACCACAGGTTCCCAAAGTAAAAAGATTGGCGTCAATCAACACAATAAGTAGCCATACTACAAAGAACTATAGATAATAAAGGAAAATAAAAAATTTAGCAATTATAACACAATCGTTACAACCAATGCAAGTAATAATCCGTAGACTGGAAATTTATAATTGTACAATTTGTTGTTAGCAATAAAAGTTTTAAGAATGCTATGAAAAACAACACCAAGCAGACTTACCCTCATATATAAATGTATTGACAAAGTACTTAAAACTTGAGCCATGCACTTCAAAAAAATTCAAAAAAAAATTTCTACCTGGTTGGATTTGGTGACGTACTTCAAACCAGGTCAAATTCACACAACAGAAAACTCCCAAAAGTAAAAAATACAATTAAATACGCAAGTCAACCTTGGAATAACAAAATGTAATCGAAAGATTATAAAAAGCTTAAAAAATCAAAGAAATCGGCTCCAACCAGTAAAACTGAAGCAGTGTAAACATAAACAATCGGGACAAAAAGTATAAATGTAATTAAAAATAACAGTACCTAATTTAGTACTGTTAGTAGTATTAGTTAAATTATTGTACAACTCTAATTTAACAAATTCAAATACAAACCTAAACCACATTCACATACATTGGGAAAGAGACAGGCAAAATATTAAATATTGCTATAAAAGTCGCACTAAAGGACGGGATGGAAAACCTCTGAGACTAACCCAATGTTCATGACCTCAATTTTAAAGCAAAAGAAAACGGCTTAATTCAAAGCTTGGTCGATTAGGATACAACCCAGAGAAAACTCTCGAATCTCTTTAAGAAATAAAGGGAGAATACCAACTGATCGAATCATAGTTTTTTTACGAGGGTTCGCAACAGCAGAGGTTATATCAACCGTCGGGGTGCCGGTGTTTTTGAAAAATATGTTGTATTTGTAAATATGTCGAGAGTTCGAATGCAGGGCCGCTGGATTCGAACACGGGACCTTCACCTTACAGTGATGAGCGCCGTGTCAACGCCTAAACCGTTGCGACCACCGACGCCCCCTCGAATAAATATACCAACTGAGTAATAAATATACCAAATATACCTCGAATACCAACTGAGGTATTCACAATGGCAACACAGATGACAGGTAGCCGATGAAAGGTTAAACTCAATGTAGGAAAAAAAAGACTCGTGGAATCAGGAAAAAATCTGCCAAAGTATACTGACTGGGGGAATTGAGTCTTAAAAATGATTTAAGAAAAGAAGGAGCTACCCGCTCTCACACCCAAGCACAATGTTAAGCAATGATGAAGGAAAGTCGTATGAGAAAAATGAAAAGCGGAGGGCGTAATAAAATGGCTTAAGAATTTTAATTGTGGAGCAGTAGTTTTGCCTGAAATAATGCCAATGTGGGGGGAAAAACAGTTGATGAAGATTTAGGAAAATGTGCACCCAGAAAAAATCTAAAATATTCTTGAAGAGTAAACAAAAAAATCGTTATTTCGACTTATAGGACGATGTATTGGAAAAGACAAGAGGCTACTCCTTTATGATTTACAAAAGCTGGAACAAGGAAAAATAATTCAGAAAGGATTAGCTTCTTTGTGCTCCAACAATCGGGCGGAACTCCAGGCTGGCTGGGTTCTAAGCAAGATTTAAAGGGTGGGATCTGTTAAAAGTTAAGAACAGACAGATTCCCCATGGATAGTTAAAGATCATAAAAAGCACAGCCAAGTAGAGGTTACCATAAAGAAAAACTTGGAACATCCCCTTTAAGTGTGGGACACCATGCAAAAAGTGACAAAACACAATATCAAAAAGAGTGACTATCAGAGGATTGAATAAAACATGAATGAAATAAAATCACAGCAAAAACCTTCATACTGTAAACTCGAAAGAAAGCAACCTACAAGACAACGATGGCGTCCATAAGGCACGATAAAAAATTTAATTTAAAAGTTGTGTAAAAACTCTTATTCTGCATAATGATACAGCACAAGAAGATACGTGTACGATAACAAGAAAAGACGACGATAAAACATCATATGTAATACTAACAAAAATGTTCAAGCTTTCATGAATGTACAACACAACTGAAAACGACAAATTGCATCAAAAATCAGTTGGTTGTTTTTATTGTAAGCTGGGGAAAAAGGCATAGGAGGAGCATTTTTCCCTTTTTGTACTCATTTAAATCATAAAAATAACCAAATAACACCTGATTCATTAATCAAGCATAAGGGAAGGAGCATATATCCCAGCGGGTTGATTTGATTGACGAATTAATCCAGGGGAATCCGGATTACCGAATGAAAATAGCAGGCACTTTTCAAAAGCGGGCCGATATTTCATAGCCGCAATTTATATGTTTAAGAAATACGGTTGTCAGCTGTCGTTAACGGGCTAGGCCAGGGGGAGAAATTCCGATGAATTATCGCTTGTTGACGGATTTATCTTCAGTGTTGAGGAAATCGTAAGAGCCCCTGGTATAAAAAAACGTCTGGGTACATTTTGGTGGGTAAACTTGGGTTTAAAGTAATTAACTGGGTAATGGATTATCCAAAAATTTCACGCCAAACAGGCTTATATAAACAATCGCAAAAGAAATGTGTTAGAATTATTATGCAATGCACTGAAATAGATGATTAAATTTTTTAAAAAAATTAAAGAGAGAGCGATAAGGGGGAAAATTGGAGAAGGGGAAGGAGGAGAGAGGAAATGAAGGTGCAGAAAGAGACGGTAGAGAGGGCAAAGAGGGATTAAGAGAGGGGAAAAGAGACGTTCGAAGAAGGGGAAGAAGAGGGGTTCGAAGAAGGAAAAGAGAGGGGTAAAGAGGAGATGAAAGACGCGAAGAGTAGATAAATGAGAAATAGGGAGTTCCTTTAGAAAAAAATAAATAATTGTAAAAAAATTGTAAAATATGTTAATACAGTGGGAAGAGAGTGCGTGAGAAATAGTGAGTTTCCTCTTAAGTAAATCAAATAATAAAAAATGTAAAGTATGTTAATACACAGTGCGAAGAGAGTGCGTAAAAAATAGTGAGTTTCCTCATAAAAAATTAAACGATTAAAAAATGGTATGTAAAGTAAAATATGTAAATACAGTAAATATATTTAATCTAGGGGTGGGATGATTTGAAATTATAATATTTTTGAATTGGAAAGTGTTGAAAAAATATGAAACTTGTTAAATTTGTCATTCCAGTAATCACAGAAATGCCTTACTACTCTATGAAGATGATAAAGAAATGTGTATAAAAACTTATCTGCGGCATCCCACGCAGTCATGTGGCAGTCGAAGTCACTTCATATTTCAGCAAAGCACGACGCACTCATTTCTTCTTTATTCCCGCTACCACCCTATAAGAAACGACAAAATATGAGCGGAGAAAAGAATTTTTTTTAACTGAAAAGAGATCAAGTATAAATAAGCGTAGAAACAAACGAACGAGGTAGAAAAGTGTTCTCGCATAAATTCGGCAACAGCCCTAGAGTTCACATATAAAAATTTGCTGGTCCCTTTTTGATATTTTAACAGACATCCCAAAGAAACGATATAAATGATTGAAATTATTATTTAATTTATCCAAAAGAAGAAAGAAAAGTTAGCAGAAAGCTAAGAAAATTTTGGGTAGCGCTGAGCCAATCGCCAACAAGATCCCATCGGTCCGAAGAATAATTACTTAATGCGAATTGCGAGATAACAGATAATTTATCTACTTGACGTAAAATAAAGAGGTGAAACGTAAGAAAATAAGACGTGGGGGGGTGCTTTAGAAGATTGGAGGGTGAATCGAAGTCACTGCGCGAGTACGTACGGCCGGCGGGACAACTAACTTACGCCCGGACTTAAAACACGTGCTATCCTTAAAATATTAATCGTCTTTTCTAATATTTAAACGTTTTTAAAGAAAATATGTAAAAACATGGAATTAAAGTAGTTTTAATCTTAAAAAGAAAAAAATTAATAAACTCACAAGTCAAAGTGTTTTAATCTTAAAAAGAAAAAAAATTAATAAACTCACAAGTCGAAGTGTTTTAATCTTAAAAAGAAAAAAATTAATAAACTCACAAGTCAACTACTGGCATTCATCGAACAGGCGTGCGGCGGTGGACTTGGCAGCAGGATCTCGGTTTTTTTCTGGCGAGAGGCTGTAACAAACATGGAAATATGAGAGGAATTGAGAAGATTTAAAAAAAAAATTAAGAGATAAAGGTAAAAAAATAAGTACGAGCTGAGAAGCGAAGTATACGCGCGAGCGTGACAGTGCGAGAGCCTACTTGTAAAAAAAAACAGCTGGTCTAAGATTCTAAAATCTTAGACCAGCTGTTTTTTTTTAATAAATACTAAAATACTCAAAACTTGAAAAAATATCTACGAAATTAACGTGGTAATTTACAGAAAATCTACTTCACCGTGAAAAGGCACAATTCCTTCCTCCAAAGCAGGGTTGGCCTTCATACTGTGCCATGAACGTTCGTGTACATACCGAAATAGATGATTAATTAAAAAATAAGGACATGTAGAGGGGGGTTTAAGTAAAAATAGTAGAAGGGGGACAGAACGAGTGAAGGAATTCTTCCAAGAGAAAAATTGCAAAAACAATAGGGAAAATTATTGATTTTAATTATTCAAATATGAATAGATCAGCCTAAGTTCAAAAATGCAGAATTGATATGATTATGATCGTTAAAGAAAAATTTAAAACACTTTCAGTATGAAGTCTTCAGTCAATGGCGGTTGAAGCACGTGGCTTGATAATAGGGAAGGTTATTTTTTCTTAACTCCCAGCGGCGGCTCAAGGCCGTACGGTCGGAAACGTTGAAAGGAAATAAAAATGCATGAATAATTAAAAAAGAGACGAGAACAAATCAGTGCGGATGGAAAAATGAAGTACACGTGTAAACGACCCGTAGCTGTAACGATTCCAAAGCACAGGCTTGTCTTTCGCGAAGCCGGGAACACACTTACCCGATGTAACACCATGCGACGCAACCCGATGCTACCCGACACAAATCCGAAGTTCATTTTTCCATAAGACTGTATTACCCCCGTGCATATCTGCCCGATGCAATGCCACTCTACCCTACTCTACGCTCTGCGATCCCCACTGTCCAGATTTTCGTCGGGTCGCATCGAGTACAGTCGAAGATAGAAGTCGTAGAACGGGACACATATTTTTATTTCAAACTACATTTATTATTGTCGTTATATTAATTACAACATGCTTATTTTAATATAAACCAAATTAACCAAGATCAAAAATTTATTAGTTTTTTTTTTTTAATAATTTTAATGGTTTGGTAAAAAATCGATCAAAACACCAGAATCTCATTTTTTGATATAATCAATTTAACTAACAATTTATTACACAGTTTTGCTCAAAATAGTGCATTAAGAACAAAAGAGGCGTTGCGCGCGTGATACGTTATTGTGATACACGTTGTGTGACTGTACGCGGGGCTTAAAAATGGCCGACTAATATAATGGACCTGGGAGTGGGGCAATTTAAAAATTGTTGTATTTGAAATAATGGTCGCCGTGAAAGACACGTTGGACATAGTTTTATATTATTAACTTCAGCTCCATTAAAAAAACTAAAAGAAATAAGAAATTTCCAAAAATTTCGACGGTAATAAAGGATGTAGGGGCGAGAAGACAAACTAAAGCATTAATCGGATAAAATGGTTTATTTACGCGAAATCATTCGAAAAACTAACCTTTTTACAGGAAAAAAATTTCTATAACACTAAGGGAAATTGTTATTTAAATTATTCAAATATCAATAGGATCAACCCAAACATTATTATGATGCCATTATGAACACTATACAAATCAAATCAACCAAACATAAAAAAATAACGAATCGTCAGTAAAGGAAATTTAATGAACTTACATTTCTGTTTCTTGTCTTAAGTCAATGGCGCGCTCGAAGCAGAAATGGCTGCTATCTCCATACGTTGTTTCCTAGCTCCAGGCTCAAGGTTTTATTGACCAGTCACAAAATAAAAGCGAGGAAAGAAAACTCGATAAAAACTGAAACAAAACAGAAAAAGTACAAATCAGCGCAGATACGTAAAACGTGTAACGTTCTGTAGCTGAGACGAGACTGACGCGTTCGCCACGCGGGGGAGGGGAGCTTGCTTTAGGCGGAAAACAGCTGCCTTAATAATGTACATAGGCCGGAACAATTTAAAAAACACGCCATCTATCTTTTACGATTTAAGATGGCCGTGGAGTTGCCATTTCGCATAATTTTAAACCACGTTAACTACAAAAATAAAGATATAATTTCAACGCGAATAAATGACATAGGGGCGAGATTAAGATTGAAAAAATGTACCATAATAAAACGTTTTTACACACATAAAACTTAACGGAATAATAAAACCTGGGACAAATTTCACCAAAAAAAATTAACCTTTTTAGGAGAAAAAATGTCTATAATAATAGGGAAAATTGATATTTTGACTGCTCAATGACCAATAGAATTAGTTTAACTTCAGAAATGATTGATTGTTATTGGGATTATTAAAGGAAATTTAAAAAAACTCACATTGGGGAAGACTTCATTTGATGGCGGTCGAAGCAGAAATGGCTGCTATCTCTTACGATATTTTTTTCCTCGTTCCACGACCAAGGTTTTATTGGCCAGTCAAGAAAATAAAGCGAGGAAAGAAAACCTCGAGAAAAATTAAAACAAAAGAGAAAAAGTACAGATCAGCAGATACGTAAAAAGAAATTTGCACGTGTAACCTTCTGTAGCTGAGACGAGACTGACGCGTTCGCCACGCGGGGGAGGGGAGCTTGCTTTAGGCGGAAAACAGCTGCCTTAATAATGAACATAGGCCGGAACAATAAAAAAAACGCCATCTATCGTTTAAGAAAACGATGGCCGTGATGTTGCCATACGTAAGAAAAACCTTTTACACACAAATCTTTGACGTAATAATAAAATCTAGGCCAAATTTCACCGAAAAAATTAACCTTTTTAAGAGAAAAAATGTCTATAATAATAGGGAAAATTGTTACTTCGACTACTCAATGACCAATAGAATTAGTTTAACTTCAGAAGCGCCTGATTGTTATTAGAATTATTAAAGGAAATTTAAAAAAACTCACGTTGGGGCAGTCTTCAGTCCATGGCGGTCGAAGCAGAAATAGCTGCTATCTCCATACGTTATTTTATCCTCGTTCCAGGCTCAAGGTTTTATTGGTCAGTCAGAAAATAAAGCGAGGAACGAAAACCTCGAGAAAAATTAAAACAAAATTGAACAAGTACAAATCAGCACAGATACGTAAAACGAAATTTAGACGTGTAACGTTCAGCAGATGAGACGAGAATGGCGCGTTCGCCACGCGGGCGTTCGGGAGCTTGCTTTACGCCGAAAACGAATGCCTAAATAATGAACTTAGGCCGGAACAATTTAAAAAACACGCCATCTATATAGTTTAAGATAACGATGGCCGTGGAGTTGCCATTTCGCACAATTTTAAACTACTTTAACTACAAAAATAAGAATATAATTTCAACGCGAATAAATGACATAGGGGGCGAGATTAAGATTGAAAGAATGTACCATAAGAAATTAGTTTAACTTCAGAAACGCCTGATTGTTATTAGGATTATTAAAGAAAATTTGAAAAACTCACATTGGGGCAGTCTTCAGTCAATGGCGGTCTAAGCACGTGCATCCGTATCGCCATACGTTATTTTTTTCTTCATTCCAGGCACAATGGTTTATAGATCAGTCGGAAAATAAAACCGAGGAAAGAAACTCGCGAGAAAAACTAATACAAAAGAGAAAAAGTACTAATCACGCAGATACATAAAACGTGTAACGTTCGGTAGCTGAGACAAGAATGACGCGTTCGCTACTCGGGCGTTGGGGGGGGCTTGCTTTAAGCCAAAAAAGGCTGCCTAAATAATGAAGCTTGGCCGAAGCATATTTCTTGTCTGGTATTTCGTTACTTTTTTCGTAATACCTGGCCCAATGCTGACGGTCCGGATGGAAAATGGAAACTAAGAAATGAAACCTCAACGAAACTTGGTTAATTAACTAAAATAATAGGGGAGGACGAGTAAACAAAGTGCACGTGGCTCCAGAGGTGCCATTTTCACGACTAACCGCGGAAATAGTTCGGCAGTCTACATGTAAAAACAGCTGGCCTTTTTTTGAAATCCGAGAAAATCCCCCCCAAAAAAAAAATTAATACAGATTAAAACACTATTCTGTTCACCCAAAAGTCAATTGAAAAAAGTCCCCTTAGAAAACAAAATAACGAGGTACTTTCAGAAAACGTCCGCGATATCAATTAGTACGGAAAAAATCAACGCAAAGGCTCAACACGCGGCTGATTTTATTTATATGTATTTTAAAAATAATTTCATATAAAGAATAATACGGATACTTGGCTGAAATACGTGATTTTTTTATTTTAATTAAAATAAAAATATATAGTGTGAAATATGAAGAGGGTGAAAGTATTTCTTTTAACTTTTGGGAAAGACCTAAGACTGGCGAGGTAACCTCTAACCATCTCTAACCTAAGAAGATTAAAAAATCCTGGCCAATCTATTTAAAATGAGACTAACTTACCTCGGAATATTCAAGGAACCATCGTCTATTTGAAGACGGCATAAATTCAAATTGGTGTAAAGGAAGCAATAGAAGGAAGCGGCATGGTGGCTGGGACGAGACTGACGCGTTCGCGACTCGCGTGATTTGGGCTTGCTTTAAGGCAAAAATGGCTGCCTAAATAATGAACCTTGGAGGGGACAATAAAAAAAACCGCGCCATCTATTGTTTAAGATAACGATAGCGGTGAGAAACGCTCTTCCGCACAATTTTGGACCAAGTTTTTAACTACAAAAATAAAGAATTATAATTTCGCCGAAACCAAGGGATGTACTAAGGAAATTTTAAGGGGCGGGAGTGAAAGTATCTACCATTAAAAAAAAGATTTTCCACAAAAACTTAAAGAACAGTATAATAAAAATCTGTGTAAAATGATTTTTAAAAAATGACTTTATATAGGGAAAAATGTCAAAAACAGTAAAGGAAATTATTATTTTAATTATTCAATTATCAAAGGATCGGCCAAAGCTCGGAAATGTCGAAGGGTCATAAAGTAAACTTAAAAAACTCACANGAATTAGCTTAACTTCAGAATCGCCTGATTATTATTAGGATTATTGAAGGAAATTTAAAAAACTCACATTGGGGCACAGCCATCGTCAATGGCGGTCGAAACACATGGTAGTTCCGTAGGTTATTTTTCCCTGATTCCCGGCTCAGAGCTGTATGGACCAGCCGGAATATTTTAAAAGCGAGGAATGAAAAAAGCAAGAAAAAATTCAAAAATTGAAAAAGTGCTAATCAGCGCGCATGGAAAAAGGAAGTACACATGTAAAGTTTGGAAGCTGAGACGAGACTGACGCGTTCGCCACTCGTGCGTTGGGGGGGAGCTTGCTTTAGGCAAAAATCAGCTGCCTAAATAATTGACAAACGTCATATTGTTTAAGATTACGATGGCGGTGTGAGACACAAAGTCGGACCATTTTAAACTAACTCACACTAAAACTTCAAAAATAAATAATTTTAACCAGAACGACGATTACAGTGAACACGAGGAAACTTAATTGTAAAATCCTAAGAGAAGTTCATCGAAAAAGCAAACGTTTTTGCAAAAGAAAAAATGTCTACAACAATAGGAAAATGGTTATTTTAATCATTTAAATATCAATTACGATCAGGCAAAGCTAGGAAATGGAAAATTGTTGTGATTATTATGGAAATTTTAAAAACTCACATTAGGGCACACTTCAGTCAATGGCGGTCGAAGCACATGGCACGATGTTTCCTTGTTTTTTTCCTAATCCCTAGCTTAAGGTTTTATTGACCCGTCAGAAAATAAAAGCGAGGAAAGAAAAACGCAAGCAAAATTAAAACAAAAGTTCAATTCGGCGCAGATAAGTAAAATGAAGTACACGTGTAACGTTCTGTAGCTGAGACGAGAATGAATCGTCGCCACTCGGGCGTTGGGGCTTGCTTTAGGCCAAAAATGGCTGCCTAATTAATAAATCTAGGCCGGAAAAATGTAAAAATCTATTGTTTTTAGATCACTGTGGCGTGCGCGAATGGGAATGTATGAAGAGAATTATAGGGGCGAGTGAGAAGGTACCTTGAAAATTATGTTGCACACATTAACTTAGACAAAAGATAATAAAAATAGGGCGGAATCCTTTGAAAAACTAACCTTTTTACAGGTGAAAAATGTCTAGAACAATACGGAAAATAGTTATTTTCATTATTCGATTATCAATAGAATCAAGCAAATCTCAAAAATGCCGAATTGTTATTACGGTCACTGAAGGAAATTTAAAAAAACTTACAGCTTTGTTTCTTCTTCAGTCAATGGCGGTCGAAGCACGTGGCGTGATATTTCGGTAGTTAATCTTATCGTAATAACTGGCTAAGGTTTTGGACCGGTTGGAAAATTGAAATGTAGAATGAAAAACTCTGGAAAAACGTTTAAAAAGATAGAGAAACTAAAGTAATAAGTGTAGGCGGAGAGACGAAGGACACGTAGCAGGCCAGCATGTCCTCTCCCGAGGAGCCATATTCCCGACTAGCCACGGAAACAGTCGGGGAGTCTACATGTAAAAAAACAGCAGCTCCCTCCTTTATGAAATTCTCGAATGTTCCCAAATAAAAATTATTAATAGAAAATAAAAAATGTTCGACTTGGAAAATCAAATAACGTGATATTTTATTAAATATCAATCCGATGGAAGGAAGTCGAGGGGGCTTTCACAAAGCCGAGTCAGACGTACTACGAAGACTTAATAAAAATCCTAACTGGCTGTCCACGTGCCCACGTGATTTTGTATAAATTTAATGCGATATAATGAATAGACAAATACATGCCGAATTAGATGGTTAATTAAAATAAAGGGATAAGAATGAAGGGTGATATCAGAGGGGGAGAGACTGAGGGATATACGTGGAAAAAAGATTCTCTTTTTTTTCATAACTGTACACTGAAATACTTCGGGAACTAACCTTTTTACACACAAAAAATTATTTAAAACCATAGAGGAAAAAGTTAATTATCCCAGAAAAGAGAATCGGGCACGACTCGTGATCAGATGATTAATTACAATAAATAGGTAAAGAGATAGGGATAAAATGGGGATTTGCACAGGATTGAGGGATGTACGTAAGAATGTACCGAGAAAAATTATTTTTTTACACGTTCTATTATGATTGTAATAATGAAATCCATGTAAAACTAACTTTTTATAGAAGAAAAATTTGGTAAAACAGAAGAGAACAATGTTAATTTATTATGTTTATTATAGAGGATGGGCCAAGACTCAAAACTGCCTTATTTTACAAAGGAAATAGAAGGGAAAAAATGTAATATCCATCCGTACCTCCGTCATGTGGCGGTCGACCAGTCTTCATGGCATTTCGTCAGTCATTGGTTTCTTCCGGCATGAGGCTGTTATAAAATTGAAAATATTGGAGGAGAAAAGTTGAAAGAAAAACTTAAGGAAGTTAAGTTCATGTCAGCGCTTGGAGGAAGTGAAGTACACTTGAAAAGGGTTCAACCTAAGGAAACAGTCCTGGAGTCTATACTTTAAAAAAGCCGATTTATTTTTGTACATTAATGATGTTAGTGGAAAGTTTTAATTTTACACATCCACACATCTGGACTTTGCTAGAAAGAACAACTGACTTATACACTCAAAATGGCGTACTGAGAGGCACAAAATCCGCCGAAACTAGGATCCCAAAGTCAAATTTTACAGATTATCAACGATTGAAGTTAGTAGATTCAAACCGCATTTTTGAAAATTAAGTTTAATGGGATAATAGTTGTTTAAAAGATTCTTTACATGTATTAAAAATATAAAGAAAAATACAATCCTTGTGGCACGTTTACGTGTCAAAAACATGCGGGGAACACCTACCGACGCGATGTAACCTTAAGCCACCCCACCCGACGCCATATTGCATGTTGGTCGGTGTACCATATCTGTTCGACACAAGCACACGCCACGCGACAGACACACAGTAGTAGTCAAGAAATGGATATGGGGCTGTGGAAGACAGAAGAAAAGAAATGGCAGCAGTAAAGATCTGCTTGCCTTCAACGGCGAATAGAAAAACATGGGTTCATGAAGTGAACCTAAGTAGAGCTGTATGTCTGGTGAATATAATACGCCAATTTCTATATTGGAAAATGAAGAAATGCTGATCGATTCCACATGTATTTTCGGATGATGAAATAATTTGATTCCTTGGGTTTCTTTTCAGGCACTAGACAACCATCAGCCTCGTTTTCTTTTTATTGATATGGATTACATGCATTTCCAAAAAGAAAACAAGGGTGATGCCCCGAAATCGATATCAACAAAAAGAACGTGAGTATGATGGTTGTCTAGTTCCTGAAAGAAACCTAAGAAATATAAAAGTCAACAACCAAAAAGAAGAGTAAAAAATACACAATTTTATTGTTGGCATGGGGCAAGCAGCAGTTTTTCTTTGCTCAAATAAAAACATATCTTCATCCAAACAGTTTGAAGGATACGTAAGCCCGAAGGGTGAATCGGGGCTAATGATTAGAACGACAGAACATGTTTACAAGGGGAAAAAAGTCAAAAATAATAAAGGAAATTATTATTTTAATTATTCAATTATCAAAGGATCGGCCAAAGCTCGGAAATGTCGAAGGGTCATAAAGTAAACTTAAAAAACTCACATTGATACTTCCATCTTCAGGTCGATGCACGTGGAGTGGTAATTCCGTAGTTGCTCTTTTCATCCTTCAAGGCCCAAGGCTGAACGGACCTAGCTGGAAAATGGGAAGATCAAAGAAAAACTCGTGAAAAACGTTTAAACAAAAGGAAAACTACAAATAAGTGCGGACGGAGAAAATAAGTGCACGCGGGAAGTGGACCCGACGTGCCATGTGCGCGACTAACCGCGGAAACAGTCCGGGAGTCTACTTGTAAAAAAACAGCTGGCGCTTTTTTGAAATTCTAGAATATTCAACACAAAAAATTTAGTTTTGAAAAACAAATAAAGTGGTATTTTATGGGGGGTTTTTTAAGTTTTTTTTAATATCAACCGAATCATAAAGTAAATGTCGATGTCACTTTTCTCTAAGCCACTGGATTCATACAGAGGCGTAAAAATCGAAGTAGAGGCTGTCCACGTGCCAGATTTTAGTTGTAGAAATATTTTTAAAAATTAATGCGATATGATGAATTAGATGATTAATTAAATCCAAGAATATTGAGAGGGTGAAACATATTAAAGAGAATGAGCGTTCAAAAGGGTGGGAATTTCCCAAGAAAGAATCATTCTTCACATGATTATTTGAATATAAATAAAAGCCAGGGCGAAATAGATCGGAAAACTGGCCATTCTGGAGAAAAAATGTGTTGAAACCATGGAGAGAAATATAAATTGATTATCCTCGAAAAGAGAATCAGCCACGGCTTAAAAATGCAGAATAGTACTTACAATAAGATGAAAGGAAATTTTAAAAAATTGCATCCGGCATCCCCTGAGAAGGCGTTCCACCTCGTATTTCTACAGACACTCGTCTCTATTTCCCTTGTGAGCCAGTAAGAAGAGGGAAGGAACATGAGAACGAGTAAGGCAAAAGTGAAAAACAAAAAACTAAGTAAAAATGAACAGGGGAAGAGAATCGAAACGCACGAGGCGTAAGCGTTCAGCCTCAACTGGGAAACAGTCCGCGAGTCTACATAAAAAATATCTAGTCCCTTTTTCGTGATCGAGAGTACTCCCAAAAATATTAAAAAATGATTGTCTTTTAACGTACACAAAAAATGAATTAAATTAAATTCTCGAAATCGTTGGCAGTCTTTGAAATATAAATAAAGTAATGATAATTAAAAAATAAAGCACTACGCAGAGGTTATCGATTTTAGTTATACAATATATTTGAAAATTATGTAAGGAAGAATTCAAAAATTACTTGCCAAAATAGACGATTAATTAAAACAAATTGATATAGTGAGAGGGTTGAGAAAAGCAAAAGGATGAAGGATGCGGTGAAAGGTCGTAGCTGAATTTTATATTATGCATTATTAGTTTAAAGGATGTTATTACTTGAGGGGATTAACTTACCTTTGAACTTTCAACTGGAAAAAGGATGTAAAGGAGGTAAGGAAGGAAGCTGTATGATGGCTAAGATGAGACTGACGCGGTCGCGCGTTTGTGGCTTGCTGAGGCCTAAAACGGCTGTCTAGGTAATGGACATAGAATGGGACAATTTCAGGACATGGCTAGTGTTCTTCGAGGAGCCATGTAGCCCAATTTTAAACCAACTTAAAAAAAGTTGAGTAGAAAAATAACAACCAAGGCTGCTTCGAATAACTGACGTTTTTACTAGGGGAAAAATGTCAAAGACACCCGGGGATGAAAAATAAGCTAAGTTATCTTTAAGATAACGATGGCGGTGAGGGTCGTCATTCCGGATAATGCCTACAAATTACCAATTTCAGGAGAAAAAAATTTCTATAACAACAGGGAATATTTTATTTTGACTATTAATGACCAATAGAATCAGTTTAACTTCAGAATCGCCTGATTATTATTAGGATTGTTAAAGGAAATTTCACATTGGGGCACATGGCGGTCGAAAAACATGGCTAAAAAATATTTTAAAAAATTGGTTCTTTTTTTTTGGTTGCGGTTCTACAAAATTCTTCAAAATAGTAAAACCTATTAAGATTATTGATTTTTATTTAATCCAAAAGATACATGAACAGTTGTGTAACTTTGAAAACAATGTGGTATTTTAATAACGACCACGCGATTCCAAGGTGCATAAAGTCAATGTTTTTCCCAAAAACATCGTATTTTATTTAAAAAATTTGCACTTCATAAATTTTCATGGTTGCTTCGTCTTTGTTTAGTAATACAAGTGTAGTCTGTACAAGGAAATTTCCAAATTAACACAGTTCGCTACTACTATCCCTAGACATTTCTTGAAGCTTATTTCCGTCGATTTGTCGATTCAGCATCCTAAAAGAGCTGTTTTTCATTATATCTAGTAATTTTTGGAATACATGTAGTCCTATTGTGCCATTAACCATGGCTGTACAAATCGTCCTGGAGCAAGTGATGTTATCGGCGATTTGAGAATCAGGACATATAACTTTTTATGAGCTGATTTAGATGATCGGCAACGTTGAGAGTTAGGTTGTGTTTAGTATCAAAAAATCCAATTTTAATCTCAGCCATTTTGCTTATCGAGGAATTGGAATCAATGCACTTCTTAAACATTTAATCCACATTTTGTGAAGAAAGAGAATTTGCATTTTTTACTTACAGTGTTGTCTTTAAAGCGACCCGAACTCCAGGTTTAAGTTAGAGATAATTGTCATCAATGCAAAGGGAGAAAACGACGAGGCTTAAAATAAAACTACTGATTCTAGGCGTATTTGTGACTTGTGTGACCCTATTTTCGATTTTTGGAAGGCATTATCATTTTTTTAAGTAAAGTTCCAGATTTATTTTTTTTTAGTACGGTTTGCGTAGTCCGTGGTAGAATTGTAGCCTATTATACTGTATGTCGATGTCTTTATTGCTATATTGAAAAACCTGAGGTGTTCTCTTTTAACAGCATATTTAAAAAAAACTGTTTTGTCTTTTTTGTTCCAGGTTCTGGAGAGGATCAGAAGTTTTTCAGAGAAAGCGGAGATACGCACGGCAGGACGAAGAGGTCCGGTAGAAGAAGCATGAAGCCGAACAACGCGTACAATAATATTACGAAGAAGGAAGACGATTCGTGGCCGTCGATACAGGACATAATCGATCAAGTTCACAAGAACATCTCTCACTGGAGAAGAGAGGAGGCGATAGACTACAATTGGCCTTATTACTTCCATTTTCCGACGTTCGATGGAGAAATCGACTCGACGACGGAGGAGCCAAGGGGCAAAACAAGAAACACCCCTTCGCCACCAAGCGAGGACTTCATGTCCAAGTTCGTCTTCAGGAAAATCGACACCAGCTCCTTGAAGCAGGCCATACTCGCAATTTCCGTCAGGAAAAGTGGAATGAGCAGGAAACGGAAGCAGGAGAGGAAAGAGTGGACACAAGTCACGACTACTCCCGTACCGACTAACAACCGCACCAGGCATCTACGGAGGCTTCACGTAATTATTACTATTTATTGTTACTATATAGCTAGCACCAATATTTCTTTATTTAGTTACGCCATCGTCGAACGAAACTAACGTTCACCACCGTAGACCCAAGGAAGAAATAAAACAATTTAACTTCGTACTGTTCCTTCTGAAGGTTTTGGCCTTTGCCGTTCACCACCAAAGTACTCCGCAGTATATAAAAATTTTATTTGTTTGTCTACATCTTTCTCGTCTGTTAACAAAACTGAGCAACGATATTCCATACATCGTTTCTGCATACCAAATGGCCAAAAGTGTTCCTAGGTGCAATGGGACTGTCCTTCATCCTTCATCTTGCTGAATGCCATATCTCACGATGATACTGTTCCAGTTTTATCTCAAAGAGGAAACAGGCATGGTGATAAGGGTTCGTCTACCAACCCATCAGACTCTGGGTTCCTTGTGGTTTATTTTTAGTTAGTACTACAGTGCAATGAAGGTTGTACAGCTGGACTCCCATATATTTAAAAATAAATACCAATTTCAAAGGTTAAAGGTTTAAACCTTAGATTTTCCTCTCCCAGAGGCAGAAATTTCAGCCTGCATAGGCCTTCGTACCAACGAAGGACATGTTTCGCTGTGTCTTCTTCTCTCTGGCAATAAATAAATTCCGTATCTCCAACCGTTCTGTTACGACAGACGACTGAATCGGAGATGGCCTGCGGGATGAGACGGTAAGATTTTCATAGAACCAAATGCATGAATCAGAGAAGATCACATTCTGAACTACTGTGATGGTCTATCAAATCATAGATTTCTTCTGGTAGGTGGAAGAAAATTAGGGAAGATACGGTACAGTTTTTCAGTCGGAAATTACAGGAATTACACACTGCGCCGGAAAAGATTTGGGATTGACTCTAAGAAAATAGCCATAATCTGTGACAGTCAGGTCATTTAAAGACTTAACCTCATGTGATGTGAAGTCAAAATGTACCTGGAGTTGCATGGAATCCTTAGCCGGAGTGACAATAATGTCCTGACTCTCGCTTGGGATCCTGAGCACTAAGGACCTAGGGGTAATGAACACAAACAGCCCAGAACCATGAGACATAAGAATTTGTCACAATGTGTGCCACAAAGCGGAAGAGATTCATAGGACCACAACTCACAGAAGAATTACTGGAGGGTAACTGTATTAAAATCCGGAGTCTGGTAATTACTGGAGTGGTTCAGGTAGACCTCCGAAGCAACATTGGGGTCGTTCTCATTGCTCAAGTACTGCCCGGGCACGCTAGCCTCTAGGCACTGCTGAGGGTCCTGACTGCTCTCTACCGTATGGCCTTCGACCACCAAACCATTAGTCGTAGGTTATCACAGGTCTAAAAACCGTTGAGTATTCCATATCTAATTTTTGGATTTAGTAGTTTTTAAAGGTACATCTCACTACCTTGCCCTACAACAATAGACCTAATATGAATTTGCTCTCCCGAGAGTCCATTTATGATTTTAAACAATTTTTTTTTCTTACTATGAGTTCTTGTCTCTATGCGCAATATAATCTCGGATCACGATTTCAATAAAGGTTGGGAGAAAAATGTCTAAATTGCTGATCCAAAGCGCCTTCAGTTTCCCTCGTTCGGCTTTGTGGGTTTCTCATGCCGAGTTAGCACTGATCATGTCGGGATAAAACGCGCGGCCTATTAAAGGAGGGGATTTACAGACCCGGATCAAGCAGAGCGATGCAAATCAACCGGTTTATTTACTGTGTCTATACAACTAGGTTCTTTTTTGAATTGTACAAACGTCCCAACACCGGATTCGACCGGCTACAAATGAGCGCAATTTATCTTTTGAACCGGGACAACAGAAGCATTTCACGAGACCGCAAATCTCAGTGGGAACTTGATAGTTAGGTAGTTTTATTTTTGTCGCTGCCTAATAACTTCTAACTAATGTTTCTTATTCTATACAAAATATATATTAATTATTATGTTAATTATTATTAGTACAGTGACAGGAGAAATTCCGTTAAAATGCAAAGGAGGTTGAAAGGGAGGTATTATGATAGGGTGAGATCTGACGATTAAGGATGTGATGGAAGACTGTAACCCGCTTTCTTTGGTGACACCCTGGTCTTGTTATATGACAGTCCGTGCCGTAACTCCTTCCTCTAGTTCGAAGCTCTTGCTAGAACAAACAAGCAAGTCCTGTGTAAACATGTGGTTGTTCCTGAGTTTGGGGATCATACTCGATTTTACAATAAAGATTCTTTTATAATGATTATTGGGAGATCGTGACGCGCGATCTGGTGTCACGTAGGTTTTAGAAAAACATTTTCTTTATCATGCCAACGTTTCGATCTTTATTGAGATCATCTTCAGGGCCTGGGATTTATAAACATTGTTTGAATTTTACAAATACATGTAGGGTGTGGAAAAAAATGAATTTATACAAAGCTAGAAAATTGTAGATTAAAAAATAATGAATTTATACAATGCTAGAAAATTTTAGATTAAAAAAACTTCTAGCATTGTATAAATTCATTTTTTAATCAAAATTTTCTTGCAATGTATAAATTCATTTTTTTCCACATCCTACATGTATTTGTAAAATTCAAACAATAAATCCCAGGCCCTGAAGAAGATGATCTCAATAAAGATCGAAACGTTCACATGATCAAGAATATGTTTTTCTAAAACCTACGTCACACCAGACCGCACCTCACGATCATTAGCCAATAATCATTGGCTAACGGTCACTAAACACCACACATTATTTTATAATAATACATATTTAATTTTTTTAAAGAACTACTAATTCGTAGAAATGAGTAATGGATGTTGTTATGACCTTCCTTATAATTTCTCCTCAATTGTATACAATTAGAAAATCCATTTTTCATCTCCCGTCAATAAACTTCGAAAAATCGTTTTCTAGGCTCTAAAAAGATCAAAAACAGAATACGATCCCTCATTTCTGTCCCTGCACGAATGTTATGTGTATCAGGCTTGGTTTCAACAAATAACAAACGAAACTTTCCTGAAATATTGTCTCTCTTTCAGACAAAGAGGAGAGAGAGAGATTTGCTACACCAGTTTTTACTTCTTCCGATATAGAGTAGAAATTGCTCGGACGAGAAAGAAAGGAGCAAGGTCAGGACTATAGGGTGATTCCATCTGTTTTCTATTTGAAATCGAGAAACCAGGCATGTTTCCGCCTAGGAAGTAGGGAAAGGTAGTAGTCTGAAGGAGCAAAGTCTGGTATACAGGCTGTGGGTTTAGGTCATTTTGATTACCACCCCTGGTACGTTTTATCTTTATGTTTGTATTATTTGATTTAAGGAGATCCACATAAGTCCATACCCAGGTGACAGTGGACGGATGCCTGTTAGTAAGGTACGACCTCTAGTTAGTCAACTTACGAACGCCCTAGTGAACCTGCTTGGAAAGAGGATACGTCACCGACTGGCCAGGGAAGAGGTGCCGGTCTATACAAACATAAAGAAATTAACAGCCGAGCCGGAAAAGACAAGATTTCGTGAAGTATGGCTAGATAGGATCGGAGGTGAAAAGCACAAGGGAAAGTTGTGCTATGGTGGAAGAAGAAATCCTGAAGAGCCGAAGATATAGATAGATACTTCTAAATTATCATTTCTTATCAAAACTGTAGTCTTAAAAATACACTTTCAAATGATTTAATAAGCCATCAAATAAATAGATTAATAATACGTAATTATATTATCTTTTAAATAGATTTTATAGTCTGAGTACTTACAGTCGATGATTGTCAGTTTTTTTTACTAAAGTCTATTCGACTGGATTTGTAACTGTTTAAATTATGCATAAAATATCCATAAAACAGTACTTAATACAACTAAGTACCTTGTCCAATGTTGAATTTGCAACGGGAAATAAATCTAAATTATAATTTTAAATGAATAACAACGGTCATACCACTCCTGAGCCCCGGGCAATATAAAGGAAGTTTTCTTTATCCTGTATTAGCTACTGCCTCGTTTATTTTTTCCCCATCATTTATTTCCAAAGTGCCGCTCCATATTTATTTTTTTATTCATATTTTCTCTGTCGGGGACTTATATGCTTAATGGTTTATTTCTATGATTAGTTTTTTTTAGTGCTGAAGACAAACATGTAAACTTACAGTTAATACGAAAGCTGGTTTGTAATATGTTCATTGTGTAGTATTTAGTGAGTGAGTACAAATACTTTGATTAAACCTAAAATTTCTACTTTGTGTACATCACTGTGTAAATTAATTTTCACACAAGAACATAAAGATACACAAATTTATCCTACACATAATCAATAGAATAATCAACAACTACAACTCAATACTAACACCATCTGATATTAGTAATAATAACCCATCAAATCTATCAAATAAATTAAACACATTTCAACATAAATTAAACACTTTCTCTCTTTTCATAATATTAAAATAGCTTTCAAAAACTATAAAACAATTCACACATTTTTTTCCTAAATTAAAGATCCCACATCAATAACAAATAAGTAATAAATTGTCTTGCAACTTACATTGGGATGGTTAGGGAGAGTTAGAGATTTGAGATTTGGCCAATATGCTAGACCATAAGGCAATATATNTGAGTCGAGAGTTGCGATTTAGCGACTTTGGCCTGTCATTACTTCAAATTGATTTCGTGTATCAATCTTGTTAAAATTTGGTCAAAATATCCACAAAACCTTTAAAAAACTAAGGAAATATCAAAATCTAAAAAATGTCTTTATTTTCGATTTTTGGAAATTGAAGCCTCGGTTGAGTCGAGAGTTGCGAGTTAACGACTTGGGCCTGTCACTATATCAAATTGATTTCGTGATTCAATCTTGTTAAAATTACAAATTAATTAAAAACTGTAAGTTAAAAAAACTTATATCGGCATTACATCCCAATATCTGGATAAGAGGATAAAACAACATATCCACTATTGCACAAAACGTCAATAAAATCCTACAGCACTAGCTCCCCACCATTTTGAACAGCAACACAAT